TTATCATCAGCAGATGGTAAGGACACAATGGTAAAGAATGCCTTCGACCAGAGGTTAGTGCCGCCAACTTGTCAGTAAGCTGAAGAGGTGGTGTTCGTGGTTAAGATGGCTCTAGCCGACACCCAACCGTGATGCGGTTTGTAGACCGAGAGTTGTCGGCTCGAGCACAGGCTTACCTTGCTGAGCTATTGGGAACCATCCGAATGAGGGAAAATTATTACTGGACCTAGAAATAGGCCAGGGTATCCAATTAAAATTTTACATGTGAACTGTCCTTTGACTGCGCTTTTTTGACAGCACTTTGGCTGCACTTTACCTGCTACACTTTTGGCGCGCTTGACTTAAAATTCCAAGAACACGTGCACATTCCACCTGTCAATATTTTATTGGAATCCGAACATATCTCTATGCCCAGTATCCGGACTTAATAATTTTTCCCAAATGAGTAAGCTTACAAGTTCGGAGAAATGAGAGCAGCGTTTTTGGTAGAAAAACAATGAGAGTGTAAAGATAGTTCAAGATTTTCAAACATTTGAAAATTTGTAAAATATCACATTGCTTCTCAATTGATTTAACAAAAAAGTCCAGTTTTGTTTTTAGTTTTACAAATAGTACGCAACTTTTCAGGTTTTAGCATGGGAGGAAAGGACAGTAGAGCAAGCTCGGCTATGGCTTTGTAAAGAGATTTTTTTAACTCTCTTTAGCATCTGATTTAAGGATTAAGAGTTCGTTTGATATAATTTCTTACTAATTTCTAAAAAATACTAAGAAAGTTGTTTCAAATAAAATCTAAATCAATGAAAATTATGCAAATCTAAACTACTATATTTGCCTCATATAAAAAAAATAATAAATAAAAAAATAAAAAATAAAAAATATTTGCCTCATATAACGTTCCCCCATATTTATAGAAATAGAATCAAATTCTTATCTTGAAAATAAATATAATAACGCATAGAATATTTGCCAACTTTGACATTTGAATAATATGCATGCTTTATGAAACAAACTATGCTCCCTCCCTCGCTAAGAATAACAAAGAAAAAACCAATAAACAGCTAATAAGCAGCAATCAAGGACGCGACTGACACAGAGACAGTCGTGCACATAACTATGGCTCACAACCACTTACCCTAGTTACAAATCATACCAGCTCGACCCACAGTGATTCAATCACAGCAGAACAATTCTAAAAAACTCTCTATTCTATACAACAAAGCTCTTCATTTGCCCCTCTCAAAATAGGTGATATCAATTTCTTAAATTTCTCATGCTCTACATCAAAATTGTCATCAATCTTCAACTTATAACCAATGACAATCAACTCACTTGGAAGTCTCAAATTGTTGCTGCTCCATATTCTACTCTCTTCATCTCTCCAATCTTAGATTCTCAATCAGCATCCTGAGTCACACATCTCTCCAGGTTCTTCTGGTTTTCTAGGTTCGTCAATCCATGTGTTGGTTGATTGTGATGATTCTTCTCCTTTGGGGTCCTATGGCCCGGGATGTTGCTAGTCCGTTTGTTAATTTGACTTCGGATTTACCTATTAATGTTGAGTCAGACTTTCCTCCAATTGTTAATGTCTCGGAAGATATTGCCAAGTATGTTAATATTCCTATTTTAGTTATGTCTAACGCAGATTTGAAAACCCATGTGGGCCGGTCTTTGAATAAGTCTATTTTGGTTCAATCTGATTAGCTGGATTTGGATGAGTCCCTATCCATGCCTTGTGTGGGGGAGGAAGAGGATTTTGATGATCATATAAATGATGATATGTATAGTTTCATGGTGGGGTGTGTTGTTGATCAAGCAATACTCAATGGCGGTGGCAAAAGGCGTAAAAATAAATCTAAGAAAAAATAGTCTTTGGATTTCACCCTCGCTTTTGATGCCATGGGCTTTGCTGGCATTTTGGATGATAATGAGGCGGCTCCTTGCTTTTCACCTTGTTAACCCGGGCTTGTTGGCAACCTTGATGGTAAGCCTTTTTTGCTGGGTGGTTGCTTGTGTGGGTTCTAGGCTGATGGTGTTATTAAGTGGTTGTCACTAAAGGATGGTCCGTGTCTGGCTGCGAGTTGCAGAGGGCTGCCATTCTCGAATCTGCTCTTGAATCCTTCTCCTACAGCTTTGTGTGTCTATTTTATTGAATCTGTCTTCGTGTCCTGTTATCTGATGTTTTGTCACCTCGGCTGTTTATGGGTTCGTGTTGTACTTTCCTTATCCTTTTTGGAATAAATTTTAGTTTGAAAAAAAAATAATTAAAAAAATCAGCATCCTGAGTCGAAATATGGTTGACCATCAACTATCCAATCCAAAAATCATACAGCTAGAAAATAAGCACCATGAGATCACAATGACAGACTGCTTGACGAAACAATATCCCTCCGATATTAAAGCTAATGTTGATGCCATTGTTCCAGCTAGTTCTCCCTTGATCCGAAGGACATTATTATTTTCACCCTCAATGATTGGTCACTACATATCAAACCTTTAAAAAAGGCCTTTCGCACCAATATTGAACCTATAAGCCGGGAAGATCGCTATTCACACCTCTGCAACGCCTTTTACTGAGTGCCAAATATATGGTATATTAGGTCTCACAACCATAAAATTCTGGCACAAACCAGTCCTCTAGTCCAATAGTCATGCTCTATTTGTTGGAAACTTCCCAATAACAACAAACTGGTACATTAATTTAGGTGTCAGCTCTCATCTCATATCGAATCCAACTCAGCCACACTAGCTACACTCTTCCAAGCCACATTGATTCCAACCAGGTGATTCTGGATAAGAGGTATTCTTCCCACACGCGTCTCCTTTATGTTCCACACATTTATTGCAATTAGTTCTCTATCCATAAACTTGCAACTGACAACTCCTGCTCTATATTGTTCAATACCTCTAGGTACGCAATTAAGGATCTGAATAGCAACTGTATCTCCTCTAAGGACCATTTAAATCGAGGACTCTACCCAGTAAGAAACATCTCAATTACATAATCAAGGATTCAAAGAGCAACCATGTTATATTAGAAGGCCTATCTCATCGAGGACCTTATCTAGTTAAAACACTTTCAACGAATTACCAGCTCATTCATTATTTTACTTGATTGCTGCATTATCTACCTCCATTATCTGGCATCTGCAACCTCCCGAGCTTGAACTCGAGTCAAGCTCAAACAGCAACCTCGAGCTCCGCTTGTCCCACCAAAAACAAGCTCCTGAGCCGCTGCAGCGCGGTTTGCACCGTAGTTCGCACGACTCTTCCGCGGTTTGATCCGATTTCTGCCTGAATCCCAATCTTCAACCCAAAGCCCGTCTTCTCCCGTCTGAATCCTATTTTTTATTAATTTTTAGGGTTTACTGAAAAAAAAAGCTGCAGCATTTAATATAAAGCAGGTTTCTTTTGTCTTTTCCAATTAAAGATGCTAGCCTATTGGGAATATAACACTATCAATATTCAAATTTAATAAATATTATTATGTTTAATTATTATTTTTTTTAATATTAATAATGATTCAAGCCGGCTCATGAGTTCACAAGCCAAGCCTCATTAAGCTTCAACTCGAGCTCGAGGCTCGATAAGCTCAACTTGCGAGCTCGTTAACAAGTCTAGTTCGAGCCAGCTCACTAACCAACTCGACTCACTTACACCCTTATATACAACATTTAGGCATGTGATGCACTCGCATACACAAACTCAAGCTTAATCAAGAATTTAAAGCTATCAACAACAATTTTGAGTTGGCCTCTTCAATAAACAATGTTATCAAAATACACTCATATATGAGAATGGATGTTCAAGTTCAAATGTGAAGCATAGAGAGAGAGAGAGACCAAAATGGCTGATGTTTCAAGTTCACGTGTGAAGCATACTCAAAAAGATAGGAGAACTTACATTAGCCATCATTTTTCAAAAGATATATATATATATACATAGAGAGAGAAAGATCAAAATGATTTCGAACTCTATTAAAAGATCATTTGTCCCTTAACTCCTTAAAGAGAAAGACTCAGGGACCAAAATGATCTTTTAATATAATTTAGAGCAGTTTTGATCCTTCATAAAGAGTCAACGGACCATTTTGATTTTTTTCCCTACATGCATAAGTGGTTAAATTTTAAAATAGTCACCTACATATAACTAATTTAGTCTGAGAGTATCACATTTCTCCATTTTAATCCCTTGATTATACAATATTGATTCAAAATGGTCCATTCAAAACTAAATTGAAATCAACTTTGTATCAATTTTGTACAGAAGAGACAAGAGTGGAGAAATTTCACTCTGAAATTAAATTAGCCACATGCAAAGAGTTGGAGAACTATTTTGAAATTTAATTATATGAAAGTATATATATATATATTCAACAAATAATCCAAGTAATCCCTGATTTAAAGGCTAAGGCATTATTACTGGTATCCTTGAGATTTTATATTAAAATCATTGAGAAAGGCTAAGGCATCCTTACCTTGAAAAATAATACAACAGAAACTGGGCCAGTTTAGGCATGGTTTAAAGTTGTGCACACAAAGCTGAGCAGGACGCTTTTCAATACCTGCAGAAAGAGCATTCTTTCAATAACACAAGACAATCGAAGCACAGAAATAAAGATAAATGGAAACTAAGAGATTCACAGATTACCTCAAACTAAGGACTGCAGAGCCTCTCCAGCTCAGTAGTTCTAATCCAAAAGATATTTTGGATGAAGAATCCATCTAACTTTACATTGATTGGAGCAGAAAATAACATTAAAATTTTTTGATGGCCCTGGAACACATTTAACTTCATGGAAGACATAGGTTACATGCAATTTATGAAATCTTATGGCCTAAGTGACGAGCATCAATTTCCAACAGAAATTTCTGGAAGCGTGTGCAAATGAATATTTATTTAACAGTTTTAACTTTATTTTATAGTTTCAGACTAAATGAATGCCCAGCTCATTTAAGTAATTATACAAGCTTTGCTGTTGCATTTGACCAAGGCCACAAATCTAGAGAAAGAAAAACTGGCAATAGAATAGATGTTTCATAGCTGCACTAGAGTTTACATAAGAATAGCAATATCTTACCATCTTAACTTTTACAAGGGACGATTTCCGACATGAATAAAATCACTTACTATAAAACATTTACACCCTCCATGGTAAAATGATTGTTCAAAGCTTCGTTTCAAAAATATAAAAAGAAGAAGAAGAAGACAACCATTATTTCACTAAAGCAAGAAGAGGTGCTCATAAGCAGAAATTTAACTTTCTCGTTTTTTAGAAAGAAAATCTCTGCTGCCAATTTATTAATGTTCTTATTGATCACTCGCTTGTCATGAGTTACCCCTACTCGTCTATCAGCTGCTGCATAATCTACTGATCATTCAGTAATAAACACTTTAGCATTGCTCTCCACACACTTGTGGCTGGGGGACTCGGATCCAATAGAGCCGATGTGCTCCACGGTGCTGGTAAGCCCAGTATCAGGCACAGTCTGCTTGTTATCCTCAGCCCCCTGCTTTTCCTCAGTAGCTTTGGTAGTGGAAGGTTCATTTGCTTTTTCAGCCCTATTCTTCTCAAAGGATTCACTCTTAGGAGGAGAGGGTGTTGTCCCGCAAGATTGGGTTGTTTGCTCATCCCGATCGAATGGTGGCCTGAGCTTATCCAACCCAACTTTGTATTGTTGTTCAAAAATCATCTGGAGATACCTCCCTTGTTCTTCTATTCGTAGTTGCAAATTTCTCTGAATCTGCCAAATTAAATAGAGTTGGAAGAGGAAAAGGTTACAAGAAAATATCTACAAGGAGAAAACAAGTATAAAAGTGGTAAGGATGAATTAGAGTTGAAGTTGAAGCAATTATGCAAGTAGCAGAGTTTAAAAAAAAAGAAAGAAAGTAAATAACTCAACAAAAAAGATACAATGAAGTGGTCCATTTAAAAAGAATAAAAACATGTGAGACCAGATACTCTGTAGATTACCAAATTAAAGTGAAATTTACCTGAAAATTTGATACTGAAATTTAAATTAACAAGCATTACCTCTAATTGTTCATGAAGTCGTTTCTGAACCGAAATTTAAATTAACAAGCATTACCTCTAATTGTTCATGAAGTCGTTTCTGAACCTCCATCTGCAAGCGCAAAGCTTCTGTAAGCTCCCTTCCACTGTTGATCAAAAGAAAGTAAAAGGTTTATAAAAGTTTGACATGCAAAAAATGCAGCATCTTAATTTGAGGTCTATACCAAGGGCCAGTTTGTTTTGTTCCATTGGTTTAGAAGCCAGTAGAAAATTACTAGTCCTAAGGAACACCTTTGATGGTTGATCTACTAGAAAAAAATAATACAAACAAAGATGCATTCCTCAACATGGAGAACAGAAGAAACCTTTTTGATGGAAATCAGAAAGTCTATACTCGTTTAAAAAGTTAAATTGTGTGCGTTACAGTGAAAAACTTGATGATCAAAGCAGCAGTTCTACTCTGCTTTACATCAGTTCTCATCATTTCGTAGTTCTTTTTGTTTTTGGTATATACTAGTGCAAATGCATGTGCTCAATGAATTGATAAAATTAGGTGGTTTGAATATGAGGAATGAAGAGAAGAAAAATATGTTCATTAGGCACATTGATAAAATTTTAGTCAAAGGATTAAGAGAGAATGGGGTAGAGCCAAAATTTAATGGACAAAAATTATTTTAAATGATTTGCAAATAATAGGTTTCTATAACACTAAACAAAAACGAATAGAAAAATGAGGATTCATGACATCAACCGAAAATAGTTGAGAAATCACTAATAATGATGAGGATGACTGGTATCTTCACTGGTTGTTGGTTAATTCTTTCTTCGGACTTAAGTTTGACCATAGGTTTGTTGTTGAATTGCTACTATTGCTATTAGTATTTTCTTTGTTGATAATGACCACCGGCTGTTTGGTAACTCTTTGATTTTTTTATATCCAGAATCATTGAATCGTTGTATCTAGAAGCTATTTTGGAAGGCTGAAATCACAAATCCCTTGCCTTTCTTGCTCTGGCAAATTAGCTCTTCCAAATTCTGTCAAAAAATGCTGCTAATTACAGAGAAGAAGAATTCATTATTCAGCTTTTCAATTTTCACATTATAACTGCTTCCAATTTGAATGTAGTCCGGATAGCAGATTTGAAAACTAGAAATTTAGGATAGTTGGAATTGGATTGAAGTTTTGGGAAAGTATCTTCTATGGAATTTATTTTTATATTGGAAAGCTTTCAGCCTTTCAATTTTGGGTCCTTCAATAATACATAAGATTACTGAGTCATGAATAAATGCATTCAATTAATTAATTAAAAATTCTCATTTCCTCTCAAATTTGTGTATGCTGATTACATGTGAATTCTTCAAAGTGCAGCATAAGTGGGCACTATCAAAATTTTGATAGGAGTATTCTCTTCGTACCAACTGGAGACCTGGATTGCTACTTCGTGATTTCATTCATTAACATCTTTATTTTCAATAATCTAATAACTGATTTGCGTATATGATTGAATTTAGTCAAATCTTACACAATATGGACTTCTAATTGTAATGCAACTTTTGATCAAAAGTATGGTTTCTAATGATCTTAAATTTCTCAAAAAACCTCAGCCTCGATGATCATAATTATCATTCTCGCTGACTTTCATGTGTTTTCTAAATTTCATCACAAGTGGCAAAATTTTACCTAATTAAAAGTTTGTGAAACACAAATTTTCTTTTAATGTGCATAACTCTATGCATCTCAACATAATTTGCACTAGAAAACAGTAGATTCTCAATACATCCTCCATAACTTTCTAGGAATGCAAAAATGAGTACGGGCCATAATACATGATCCACTCAGTGTCAATAAAAATGAAAGCATAGGACCAACTGATTACTTATCTTACCCAAAGTAAGGCTTTTACTCAATTAAATCCACTGGAATTCTGAACACCAACTTATAGACATATTTATCAAATAAATGAACCAGTCATAATGTTTGGCTTTGCGACATAGTTATATGCTCAGCCAACCATCCATTATCAAATTGAAAAGAACAATAGAAGGGAGGGAGACATCAATTGCCAGTAGAAATGAAAACTGCAACCAGATAGCATGCAAACGAGATTGATTAAATCAAAGATTAATGGCACACATATCAAACACAGAATAACAAATAATAATGACATGCATTAACTATAATGAGATTTCAAAAGTATAATACTTCAGAAAAATGCCAAACAAGCTTAATTAAATCCCGGTTCCCAACTTATCGCAGTGAAGGACGTATTGACATCCCAATGGACCACACGAAAAGGACATCATGGACAATTTCAGACAGAATTCAACTATAAATTATGAAACAATTTGATCCATCAATCAATATAAACACAACTTAAATATTAATAAATATTTCTTGTGAGGAAATGAAGTTTTGCCATGGCTACTTCTTCATATGAAGTAGTCAAGATTACAAGCTGGGCATCCATATGACCAAAGTATAGTAACAAAAAAAATACAAACAACTTACGTTTTCAGGTCCAATGATGCCGTTTCATCAAGTGGATAACCTCTCTTTTCTGAACTCCCTGAAAAATGGAAGTAATCCAGACTTCAAAACGACAGTATTCATAAATTGGGCTTAAAGATTAATCCACAAAATTTTAGGACAAAGTCTTTTTTAATCAAATTACCAAGAATTCAATAAAAAAGTAAAGCACAGAAATTGGGGGTGAAAAGAAAAAATAAAAGATAGCTAGCTTTGATTAACCTTCAAATGAATCTGGCCGGTACCGAGCTGTTCTATACTTCTGCAACATAAATCAAATTCAATGATGGCCTCAAAAAGCAAAAGTTTTTCCTAGAAAAGCTACAAACCTGGAGGTGGCTTTTCACATGGTATATGGTCAATCCGTCCACCTTCATAAGCTTGAGCACACCTTTAGGAGTGGCCTCTAGTATAAAAGAACTGCAAAAGATCAAAAAAAATAACAGGCTAGCAAGCAAGTACCCAAAGTTGAACCCACTTACTTTCGCTTCCACCAAGTTGGTTAACAGCATCTACAAAGCGTTCATGGAGCTCTGGGGTCCACCGCATGCGTGGTCTAGGTGGAGCTCCACTCATTGAAGATGATGGGCTATTGACAATGCACAGCTCCCCAGAATGTAAAGGTACCTGCTGATGAACATGCATTCGTTGCACCAGTAAATTTAAAAAAGCTTCATTGGTTTATTGATAGATAGTCATTGCAATGATATACATGATTGCAGTAAGAGACGAAAACTGTTACAAGTTTACTATCTTCTTTGTTATATAAAGAGAGAGAGAGAGAGAGAGAATAGCAAATTTCTCATCAAAAGGCAGCATCTGCCATTTCTGACTAGTCCTATATATTAATTAAAAGAAAAGTACATAAAATCACTATTTAACATGAATATTCAATATTTAAGCTCCGTATATCTATGAAAACTGCAGTTGGAAATAGAAAGAACAAAACATACATGCGTAACCATAAATCAGTAGATATCACTATGGCTTCTTAGCACCAACCGAAAAATTAAGGAACAAAAAAGGAGGGATGCACCATAATTCACAATATATCAGTAAAAGAAAATGGTGTAGTACAGCAGTAGTTGATTATTCCATGAGTTAATGCAAGCTAAATACCTTCTGCTGAGTTTCTGTTCCAACTGGGTCATTCAGAAGATCCTTCCAATCATCACTGCTCAAATCCCACCATTCATTTTGTTTAGTTAGGTCATCAGAAGCTGTAATATTAGTGGTCTGGATTTGATTGTTGATGGGACTGCTCTGGATTTGGTTGTTCTCCATATTCAAATTATCAGGATAACTAAGAATATCATGAATGGACCCTGGAACCCAGGACATTCCAGTAGCATTGGAAGGGAAATTGCAAGTTGAAGATTGAAATGCTCCTGAACACATTTGTGCTAAAGGTATGGGAATTCCACAGCTTGGTGATTGAGAAATATATGGGGCGCCATTCGAATATCTCACTTGAGGAGCACTAGAAGAGTAATGAAGGTCTGAGGAGAATCCAGAAGCTGATGAAAATAAAGGTCCCACTACCCCATTGTTAGAGACAAAAGGAGTATGATGCTGCGGAAAAGAATTGTTTCTCAACTCCCTGTCCATTGAAACTTGCCGAGAATGTGGCAGTAACCTCTCAGCAAATAAACTGGGATGAGTAGGTAGAGATGATGATATAACACCTGAAACTCCAGAGCTACAAATTTGTTTCATATCAGACAAGCTTGCAGACATAGCTGAGTGTGCTTCCATTCCATACTACGATATTGATTATTTGTCTATTGAAGTTGCTTGTTGCTAACTTTAAGCCCATAAACTGTCATCAACATTATGCAGCATAAGCCTGAGAAGTAAATATATATTTAACTAAAGTAATGCAGATACATGAAATAAAATTAATTTATAAAAATCCAATTTAAGAAAAAAAAAAGCATGTGAGTAATAATTTTTTTATAATGGTCACACATTACTTCTATCATAATAGGGAGTACTGAAATTTAATCAGTAGCATTGCGGCACCTTCAAGAAACCTGCAATAGATAGTGCCTCTAATGGTATTGAATATCAAGAAATTACCACTACCACAATAGTGAGTATTAAAACTCAATCGATGGTAACCTGTGGCACAGGAATTCTGCAAAATATACAGTCAATAATTGTACTAAGTCAATGGAAAAGAGTGACAAGATTTCTATAACCTTGTTACTAATGGTGCCATGGTAGCAACAAAAATAAACTACAATGATTAGATCACAAGGGCATCATGCCTATTAGAGCAGAAAAAATGCAATGCACAAATGGAATCAGATTATATGTTGCATAATCTTGCAGGCAATTAAAGTATCCTTTGTACAACAGCAACCATAATGGTCCAAAAGAATTCTTATTCTGGGTTTGTGAGGATAAGCAATATAGCATATGCTTGATATATAATCTTGGTAAGATGATTTTATATCTATATATATATATATATATATATAAGAAAATTACAAGAATAAAATAGACAAAGGTCCCTCATTTTCAAACTAGGTCCCTCAAGTTTAATAGCTACCAGCTAACTTCAATTTAGTATTCCATATAAGCCTATTAGGAAACTTTACCCTTCATAAACCAAACAATTAAGCCCTTAATCTTTAGTTTAGGAGCATACAACTAGTAAAAAGCCCTCCTTTTCTCTCTCTTTCCGGCAACACTCAAGGTTGATATCCTTCATAAGTGCAGATAGGTCATAACTGATTTAAAATCATCAAACTAGTCCTTTATATTTGATGAGCAACTAGATTCTTTCAATTGAATATTCCATAAAGGCTCATTTTAATTATAATCCAATTCTTCCAGGCAAACCAATTGGCCACTTGATTTTAAAAAATATGAAAATTAATCTTCCCCTCCCTCCCATCCTCCTTCCTTCTCACTTTCATTAAAACAAAATTTTGCAAAGAAGGTTGGAGAGAAGTCTGGGACCATTTCTGGAAAAATTTTGAACTTAACCGAACTGGAAAATGAAAGAAAGAATTAAGTTTCTAATTAGCATAAACATGAGAGATCTAGCTATATAGTTAAGAAACAAAAAAGTAGCTATCCACATCATACGGAAAATATGAGGGCCTCAAGCCAAAAACACACCACCTACCCTGGTTTGGTATGGAGTTAGGCTAGCCACACTCTCCTCTCCCTCCCACTCCCATTCCCTGTATCTATTTCTCTATCCAAAATGGAATTTGAATGTGAGCCAAAAGCAACTTTGACAAAAAAGTATCAGGGTGCTTGAAAATAGAATCCTAACAAAAGGGGCAGTGATTGATTGCAATAAATGAAAGAGGCCTAATTGGGTAATTTGAAAATAAAAGAAACCTAGACCTAGCCACATCTTATGAATGACAGAGTGACATCTGCAAGTTAGTTGTAGTAATATGATTATTTCAGGGTCATCAGTAATGCTTGAATTGAATGATCCATCATTTCTAGGAAGAATACAATAATTGAAATATAAAGCAGAATTCATGAAGAGCTCAAGATTAGACCAACAATTCAAGTATTGATGTGATCCTCCACACATCAGGTATACGTTAGGTTTTTTTTTTTTTTTCCTTCCAAATTTTATGCTCTTGATACTTTAGTATCCTTTACAAGAAACTTCTTGAAAAAATCACTCAGATAGACAGGAACCTACAAGAGTAAAGTTAAATTAAATATTATAGGCCCCCCTAACTCCTCAAATTGAAGGTTGCAGATTCCTTGACGTTAAAATGAGTTAGAAAACAATAATAGAACTTGTCCTTAGCAGCAGGATAGAGGAGAAAGCAACCAAGGTGAGCGTGGCATCTTATCAAGCCCAGATTTAAAAGCGACAAAATATGCCCCTAAACAAATGAAATCGTAAAACTCCCCTAATGTTACACCGCATCGAGTCCTGGCATAAACAAAAGGAAACAACCACAAAATAAAACAATAAATACCCTTTTTTATTAAGGAATAACACGAAATAAATGAATCTCTGAATTAATTTCCAAGCTCCCCTTCTATTCCATAAAATCAATGGGTAGAACGTGACGTCAATGCGAATTTAATGCCCTAATCAAAGAGAAAACAGAAAAAATCTTCTACTTCCGCAATTATGATCAAAGAACAGAGGCAAGGACCAAGAAGTGGGTTTTCCATAACCTTCGTATCAAAAAGACCAGCAACAGTAAAAGGGTCTTCAAAATGATTCTCAAAAGGATAGCAGAACATCAAATAAAAAAACGAGCCCTAGATCGGGAATGGGCACCGCTAAGTCTTACCGAGGACACAAACCCAAATAGGCGGTGGCGAGGAGACGCCGGAGTAGGGAGGGTTCCTCGGTGGGCTACCGTATTTAAGGAGGCTGCGAGAGAGAATGCGACGAGAAAAAATTCCGAACAGTATCTCACCGTCGACGCAAAAGCCTGAGTTAATGCTTACAATTTCCGTGAACCTATAAGATATAAACTGGCAAAGGAAAGTTAAATCGTTTATTCGAAATTTTTCCTAATTTTTATATTTTATTTTAAAGTATAAAAAAAAAAAACAGAAAACATTTCATATTTTCATAGGGTTTTTTTTAGGCGATATAACTAAATCCTGGATGAACCTAACGGTAGTCAACTCACAGGTGTTGGGTTCATGCTTGCCTTCTCCTCTCAAAGGAGACGAGTTGCTCGAGAGAGGAATTGAACGTAGGTTTGGAGATTCTCAGCCACGCTCGCCACCAACTAAGAAAAGTCTAGTGGGTTGATTTTCATACATATTATAAAATTTATATATCTATTATTTAAATTTATATTTATTTCTAATTTTTTATTATTTAAATTATATCAAATTATTTATTTTTATTTAAATAAATTAATATTAAAACTATTTTTATTTGATTTAAAATTTTAATACTATACAAATAAATATAACTATTTAGATATTAAATATATAAATACATTAAATTTGTGTAGCATTTATATAAAACTCCCTTTATTGAAATATGAACAATTTTTAAAATTAATGAAAGTATGAAATAAACGTCAAAAAAATTTTCACATAATTTTAAAACCTTATTTAGTAAATAAACTATCTAGCAACACTATGTTTTATGACTAGTTAAAAATAATGAATAAATAAATTGCAACTCTTATTAGCAAAATAAATGGTACAATTAGTGTTGAAGTCGAGGAATATTATGCTTATTAGTTAAGAAAATGTTTAGCAACTAAGATATTTTAATTGGAGCTAATCATGTGAGAGCATAAAAGTATAAATAAAAAAATAGGGAGAGAGAGAAGATGAGGATGAGGACAACCAATCTTTATGACACAAGCCCATTTCTTTTGCTTCTATTTACTTAGCTCAAAGGTTATAAATATATCATTTAGGGTGGATGGGCCCATTTTTTCTCCGAAGTAAAAGTTCATCCAGAGGCTAAAACTCCATCTTGCTATTTTGTGTAAAGTATTTGTAGAGAATATAAAATTCTACCATATGATAGGTTCCCACTCTCATATGGATTCATGAATCCTTCTAACATACTAGATAATTAAATGTTTTGGACTAATGACTGTGAATTACCTAAGTTTTTCTAAGTAGACTCTTCTATATTTGATGTAAATCAGAGCATCCCAAAATCTCTATCGAGCTTGTAGGGATGTAAAGGGAGGTTTATGGCCTTCCTAAAATTATTATATCTTTATATACCCTAGAACTCTAAACATCATATGTCTAGGCATGCAAGAGTTCTATTCGAGCACTCCTAATTGTTCTAATATTTCTCTTCCATGGTAATATATCATACTAAATTTTAACTATACTCATGATCATTATATGCATTAAATTAAGAATGAGAATTATTGAAAACATGTATTATCATTCAAAGCACAAGAGTCTACGTTAGTACTTGCAAAGGATTTACATCATCAGCCTAAAATAAGGAAATTAGCTAGACACGAAAATGAAAAAATAAACCAAATTTCATTTTTTGCATATAATTGAAAGTACTAGAATAATATTAAAATTAGATGTCACCCGGATCATACAACCTCTCCACACTCTTTTCTCCTCCAAATGTCTAATTGATTATAATAGATGGGTTGACTATCTCCCAAATGAAGTATCTTCTTCTCTTTTTGGTCTCCTTTAGACTTGACTCTAAGAGAGCAGTACACTTAAGCACTCAATACTTACTAAAAATAACAAACCCCAACATAACCCTACTCAAATGAACTAAAAAACTTTTTATACTAGTGTAGAAATAGACTTAAATGATGCGGTGCTCGACATGGTGGCATCACAGCGTTATATAATAATCTAGCACCTTGGTGGCAGTAAGCTAGTTTTGATGGGTCTAATGGCTAAATAGATGCGTCACTTAGCTGATTTAATGTGGCTCGATCTTTCGTCAACTGATCCACCATGGTATTCTAGAAGTTGAGCATTCTGGCACTTAAAGGTGTAATCCAGCACTACGGCGTTATAAAGTTCGACGCTATGGTGCTCAAATTTCTGAGACTCAGGGCTACGACACTGATTTCTGGTGTTGTAATATTATGAAGTGTTACAACACCGATTTTGGTGTTGCAACTTAGTTTTAATAACTATGTTTTCATATCATGTATGTTTTTTATGATTCCAAATATTATTATTTTGATTACTATTTCTCCTAACATATATTGGATATATTACTTTTGTTGTTTTTGTATATTAACATTTCAGGAAAATCATACTCAAGACTATCGAAGACTTCAAGTCAGATTTATTTAGGGTTCATTATAATTGGAGTTTATATTTTTACACTTTTATTGAGTCTAAGAGAGTGTGATTGTAATTGAGTAACCGTGCACACACACACTGAAGGAGTTAAAAATTTGTAAACTTTTAAACTAATCGTACTGTACGATTTCAGTTTGTACGGAATAATTTGTTTAGTTGTTTTCTCCAGCAAGCAGTTAATCAAAGTATGGACGGGAAAAATTTTTTAAGTATTGTTCGTACTGTATGAAGTTGGCTTCAAACAGACGATGTCCAGAGTATGAAAATGATGTGAACATTTTCATCCGTACGAACATGTAAATTTTTTGAACTTTTCGTCCAGGATGATCTAGAGTTCGTACAAATGACGTCCAGAGTATAAACAAGTAAAGTTTTTCAAAAGTTCATCCAAAATGATATGGATTTCATACAGACGACATCCAAAGTACAAAATTATGGGGAACATTTTCGTCCAGACGAATAGGAATTTTTTTATAGTTGTTTGTATCGTATACATATCGTATTGTACTAGATGCTTGTACAAAAATATTTCGTATAGTATCATTCTAGCATATTTTGAAATGTTCATTCGAGATAATTGTCGATCATATTGTATGATCGTAGATGCTCAAATTAAAGTTTTTAGTTTTTTGGACGATGTTTTGTGTCTTTTATATATAAAGTCTTTAGAAACTGACTTGGACGAATCTGATCTTCATGATTTCTTAGAGAGCAAGTGAAAGGGTGATTTGGGAGAGTATTTGAGAGAGAGTTCTTGTAAGTGGAGTGTGAAGGATTCACAAGATTACTCAAATGTTAGAATCTCTTTTGTTTTTGTGTCAATTCTCTTCTTTTTTCTTTCTAGTTGCACTAGAGAAGATCTCTGGAGAAGATCCGGTACTCTGCCGATCTTGGAGAGTGTTAAAGGATGACGGTACTCTGTCAATACTTGGAGAGTGTGAAAGGACGACGGTACTCTGCTGACACTTGGAGAGTGTGAAAAGATGACGGTACTCTGTCGATTATTAGAGAGTGTGAAAGGATGATGGTACTTTGCCAATACTTAGAGAGTGTGAAAGGACGACAGTACTCTACCAACACTTGGAGAGTGTGAAAGGATGACGGTACTCTGTCGACACTTGGAGAGTGTGAAATGACGACGGAACTTTGTCGACACTTCGAGAGTGTGAAAGGATGATGGTACTATGCCAACACTTGGAGGGTGTGAAAGGATGACGATAGTCTGCCGCACCGAGGATTGTGGAAGAGAGAAAAATTGTAAAGGCTTCTCCGCTAATTGATTTAATGTTAGGATTTGATAAGATCACTAATTCTATATTTAAGTTTACTATGATCTTCACTTTTTTTTTCTAAACTCAATTACTCATTATTTAATTCAATATTCAATGTATTAATGTATAGTTTCTAAATTCAAAATAAGTTAATAATTTAAGTAATTTATATTAGTTAATTATTAAGCTTTTAAAATTATGAATTATTATTCATTTTTTATTCAAACTATCTTATATGATTTTATTATTATCTTAATTTTATATAACTTTTAATTGTCATTTTTATTCTAATCAAACAAGTAATCAAATTGCAATCATTGTGTAGAGAATAGTATTCAACAGTTAAGCATAAATATGAATTTAAATTAAATGTAAATGACAGAATAATACTTTACACAAAAATAATGAACAATTGAACATTAACTAAACATGCCTTTTCATTTAAATAATATTAAGCTCACATACATTATAATACAATTATATAAACAAGCAAAAGATAATTAGTGCATGAAGCATTATTCTCTTAATCCATCTCCATCCAATATTCACAAGATTTGTTCTCATCAGAATAACAACAATAGCTTTCATGGCCACTATACAACATCACTATCACAATAGGATAATCATAACATCATAGGATTCCCCCCCCCCAAAGCAAAAGAATTAAAAAATAAATAAAAGAAAATTAAATATAATAAAAGTATTCACCTCTCTCTCTCTCCTCTCTCTCTCTCTCTCTCTTAATAAAAGTATTCCCCTCTCTCTCTCTCCTCTCTCTCTCTCTCTCTCTCTCTCTCTCTCTCTCTCTCAAGCATGCCAGGATTAACTAATAAAAGATAAAAAAAGACTCATATTACTCAAAGGCATAATCCTCCACCTCCTCCTGTGTCCAAAAAAAAGACTGGTATTATGGAGCACTAGGAAAATGTTTCTTGTTTGAATTCTCCAAAAAGGGATTCCTCCAAAACATCCCCAATAAATCCTTATTGAATTTGGATGTGTATTTGCAATGCTTTTCCTACATACACGAGTAAAGTGCTTGCCATTCCCTACTCTCCTCAAGAATTCAGTCACCCCCTCCATTTGCTCCCTCAATTGAGCCACCTGCTCAACTAAAGATTTAGTAGTCCTAGAACACCTACTATTACTACTACTTTGACTACTAGTCAAATGAGACTCACTAGGACCACCACTACAGGAAAAATGTCAAATACCGGCGATTTTCACCGACGGTTTATGGACCGTTGGTATTACCGGCGGCGTCGCTGGCGGTCTAGCCGTCGGACTCTAACGACGGCCAAACCGCGGCTTAGCTACGATACACCGCCGGTAATACCGACGGTCTATAAACCGCCGGTAAACCGCCGGACATCAATATGAACCGGCGGTCTAAAAAAAAGTGCTCACATATGAC